GTCCGGAGACCGATGGGAAGCCAGTGCAGCTCGCGGAGAATAGGTGTAACATGGGTGTATCTAGGTACACCCGATATCGCTCGCACGGCTGCATTCTGGACCAACTGTAGTCTCCGAACACTCTTCAGGGGCAGCCCCATGTAGAGCCCCATTGTATTTTCTTGAGTTGTAAGCCACTGAAAAGCTATTCCTCTATTTATTTGAAGTTTTTTAAAAAATACTTCAAGACCATCTTGACTCCTGGTGGCCACAGCACTTCATAAATAACCCTAACCCTTCACACCATCACCAAAGAGAGCAGGTTATTATCTGGAGAATCACATTTTCTGCTCCACCATTAGCCAGCACCCTTCCTTATCCATGCAGAACAATACAGATAGATCTCAACTTACAACCATTTCTTTCTTCTTGTGCCATATCCGTCATCGGACATTGGAGATCATGTTGGTGATCCCATTTTTGTCAACAGCGGAACAGCCACACGAAAAAGTGGTGCTGAGTTTTGTCCAAACCAGTCCCTCAGATTTGGAAGCCATGATGTTCTTCTTTTGCCTGGATCTCATTTGCCTTCAAACTTTCCTTGGAGGATTAAGTGAAGTATTCTGTATTTTTTCTGGGTGTCGCATCACTTGTCTAAAATATTCTAACTTTCACTTTTTTATGGTTTTCATGATTTCCTTGGCTTTCCCGGGCAGCTTATCACCTCCTCATTTCTGATTTTGTTAACCCGTAACAACCATTTCTTTAGTGACTGTTTAAAGTTACTATGACACTGAAAACAATGACTTATGACGAGTCTTCATATTTACAGTGCAGTGATTCACTTAGCAACCATGGCAAAAAAAAATGTAAAATTGGGCATGACTCCAGAGGTGGGTTGCAAATCCCGGCACTAGCGGTTCGCTCATGCTCACGCTCGCGCACTACACTTCTGCGCATGTGCAGAAGCGTCCAGGCGGGCCACCGCCGGTTCATCCGAAACGGGCCGAACCAGGAGCAACCCACCTCTGCATGACTCCCTTAACAACTGGCTGCTTAAAAAGAAAAATTCTGGTCTCAATTGTGAACATACATAGAGAACCACCCGTAGCGATGACATTTGTGTGGTTGAAGAAAATGGGAGCATTGGGAAAGAAGTGAGGCAGATGGAAGCTCCTTCACAGAATAAATTGTCTTGAGATGGTATCAGCTACATCAATAAACAAAGAAGCAGAAGGCTGCCATACTCACATTTTGGAGTCCTGTTGATCAGATGTACAAAAAAGGTCTTCTCTGTCTCTTGCAGATTTAAAGATGGCACTTCTCACTCGTATCATAACTGGATTATTTAATGAAACATTGTATGTTCTCTTCAAGACAGTATCCCTTAAAAGTGGACTGAGCTGTGGAAAATTTAAAAACATGCATTGTGATAAGAATATGAGAAAGTTTTTTGGGGGGGAAACATTATTTGTAAAAGAAAGTTAACCTTATACATGGAAGTCTAACAAACTTCTAGAATGCAGGAAAAATAGAATCATTTTTAAATTAATAATTTGTTTGACAATAAGATACAGTAACATTAGTGAATACATAAAATAATTGTGAGACTATACCTCTTGAGAGTTAATTGGTATATACCCATAACAACAACTCAGTTATTTATTTATTTGCATCAACACATTATTATTAGAACCCTGTAGGCTTCTAGTAAGCACTCTTCCAAAGAAATGTGAATTTATATGAGCTATTCAGGGTCATATTTTTAATGAATTGGCAGCAAAATAATTTAAGCATAATGAAAATTAGT